CAGGTGCTGGTGCACTTGTTTCAAAATGAGAAACAATAGTGCAGTGTGTAATGGATGAAGGGCCTGGGACAGCAATAGTAGGGAGAACAGGAGTGCGGGGAGTGTCAAAGGATCCTCACGACAAAGAGGTTCATCTAGGAGAGTTGGGTGGATAGGGACTGTATGGGATCCCAGATCGTTCAGAGAAAGCCTTCTTGCTTTTCTTGGAAGGTGCCACTTTGGCAATCAATCAGTTTCATGGTTTCAAAAGGTAAAGCCCTACAGACGGAGGGGTTCAAAGGAAACTTGAATCTTTTGTTACAAACTCGGATAGAGCATTGTTCCAATAAAGGAATCAAGATCAGGGTCGATCAAGGACTAAGCCTTATCGAGTCAATGCCTCCTTCAGGAGTGATCATCTAGACTCCCACAGGATCTAGAGTTCAAATGGGACAGATGGCTAGCCTCCTTCCCAAGGAGCTAGAGTTCAAGTATCAGAGAGAACTGAGTAGATTCAAGTTAGAGAAAATACAAGCAGTAACTAAGGCTTTATATACGCAAGGGAATTGTGCACAGACCAAGCTGGGTGAAGGGTAACTACCACTAGGAAAGGAAGGTTCATGGGAAAACAAGTATGAGTCAGAGATAAGGGAGACCATGAGGAAACAGTACAGTGAAATGGAAGCATTAGAAGTACAGCCATATAGGAGTCCACAGTGATGATGAGAAAAAGAGTGGGGCACTGTAACAGACTGTGGACTCATGTTGTGTGGGGAACTTACTGATTTGTTGACTGATAATTGAAAAAACTTCGAAGTTCAACACAAAACCAGCAACTGCCAGAAGTTGAACCAGGACCAAACAAAGACAAACAATCAATGATTTTATCAATTGTCCATCAGATGTGTTGTTTCCTTTGAAACTTCATCGTTGTGACAACAGATTTCAACCCAATTTCAAGATCTTTAAATCTCTCAACTTAATCATCATGTCCACTCCAGTTGACAACTCTTTGACCAGTCTCAAGGCATCCACTGCCCAGATCATGGCCATCATCAGTGGCGCCCGGCAGATTCCCCCAGGTAACAGCCACTTTTCTCTGACAACACAGGTCAGTTCACTTGTGGTATGTAGCTTTCTTTTTTTCTTCTTTTTTTCTCTCTAACATCTAGGCAGGCTCAAGTGATCAAGGACTATCAGACTGGACCCCTGCCCGGCATCGTGCTTTCATGCTCCAAGGAGCTACTGTGTGTCCAGGGCATGACTACCCAGGTCTGGTGCAACTGGCACAACATCGGGTACAATGATCCCCGTCTCTTGCAGCATGTCTGGTGCCCCAAGCTCCTCACCTGGGAGGCCTTAGGTGACCATACCTTTGATCTCCCAGTTGCTGCTCCTCCCTCCACAGGTCCGATTCCAGTGGACCTTCCCTCCCCACCCATCTGCACCAGCAATGTTGCTGGTCCCTCCACCAGCACCAGCACTGAGTTCCAGGACAAGGGGAAAGGTAAGGCTGTTGATGCTGACCTGGAGCCTGAGGTGGAAGGGAGTTGGAAGAGGAAGTCTCCCATGATTTTGGGACCCCCCTCCCAACTGCTGAAGTCTGCGATGAAGACTTGCAAGCATGCGAAGTCCTCTCGCTGGGTGACATCCAAGCCCCTAGTGGACTCGGAAGATGAGGAAGACATGAGTATTCAGGTATGTCGTCTGGTTAGTCTTTGACTTGGCTCACATTTTCTTGTAGCCATTTTTGGGTGGAGTGCCAGATGTTGTCCTTCCCTGGCTCTCCAATTCACCTAGATCACCCCAGGTTCCGACCAAAAAGCCCTTTGGCCCTGCTACAGTAAGTCACATTTATGTGTCTGGGACTCGGGTGTATGCTAACAATGTACCAGGTGATTGCTGGCAGTCACCCAGCAGTCATCGAGCCCTCCCAGCCAACTCCCAAAAGCCCGGTGGAGGCACCCCCAGTCATCGATGGAGGTGATATTCTCATTCCCGGACCAGTGAGTACTTTGATTTATTTGACAAGTGTCCATTCACTAACACAACCCACAGAACAACCCATGCCAGGTTTGCACCAAGCTAAAGTGGGACTGTGCAACTCAGTTGGACAAGAGGACCGGGAATCTGTGTATGTTGTGCGTCCACTGCACAACAAAGAAGGTCAAGTGCATCCCAGTGACTATGGGTACCCTGCTGAAATGTGTTCATGGGTCCTCTACCACCCAGAACACAAGGTCCAGGACACCCTCCAAGGCTCCCTCCAAAGCTCCCCCCACCTTCCAATACAAGGCCTGGACTCACAGTCAGTCTCATGGCAAGTCCAGAACTCCAGGTGTCGTGGCTGTGACAACCCCCAAGACCCAGATGTGTGATTGCAGCAAGACCATCACTGCCGTCAAGGCACCCACACCTGCACCAGCTTGTAAGTCACCTGAGTTTTATTTCATCACTGTCTGACCTTAATTTTCCCTTGTAGCACTTGACCTGCCCATGCTGGATCTCCATGCCATGGCAATTGCAATTTGGGATGGCACAGCTCACATCGCCATTCTCGAGGCTCATGTGGCAGAGCAGGATGATAAGATTGATACCCTGCAATGCCTCCATGAAGCCCCACATTCCCAATTCCCAAACCTCCACCCAATGCAACATCCTTGTTGCTTGATCAATCTGTCCCCCTGTCCATGTCACCATCTGCATCTGCACTCCCTCCTCTCACTGATCTCTCAATTGGAGAGATGACACCCACACCCCCGAAATTTGAGGATGCCTCTGCCATTGAGGGCCTCCTGTTTGAGTGCAACCGGGTTGTTCAACCAGAGGTTCCAGATATGTCCAGCGAAATTGTGGACCCAGGTGATCCAGGCAACCTGGTCCCAGAATATGATTCTTCCAATGACATGGCTACATAATTGCATAGTGATAGACATATATACAAGTTTTTCAATGAATGTTACCTCTGCCAGTCCATTTATTCAATCACTGAGTCTGAAGAACCGAGTACTGAAACCTGAAAGTTAGAAACAACATTGAAACTCGAAACCTGACAGTTGTCACAATGTATGAGTTTCAAGTTTTGAGTCTTGAATCACCAAGTCCTGAGTCCCAAAACCCGAACATCAAACCCCTTATATTGAACCCTGAAACTCAAAACTCAAAACTCAAAACTCATACATTTTGACGAGTTTCAGGTTTCAGGGTTCAATATAAGGGGTTCAATGTTTGGGTTTCAGGACTTGGGACTCAGTGATTTGAGACTCAAAACTTGAAACTCATACATTGTGACAACTTTTGAGTTTTGGGTGTCAGGTTTCAGGACTTGGTGATTCAAGTCTCAAAATTTGACACTTGAAATTCAGATATTGGTATGACTTTCCAGTTTTGGGTGTCAGGTTTCAATGTTCGGGACTTGGGACTCAGTGATTCAAGTCTCGAAACTCGAAACTTGAAACTTGAAACTCAAAATTCAGATATTGGTATGACTTTTGAGTATTGAATCACCGAGTCCTGAAGTCTGAGTACTGACACAACTTTGGGTGTTGGCATTCAGTATTTGGGACTCAGTGATTCAAGACTGGAAACTTGACAGTCATAAAAATGTTTGAGTTTTGAGTTTTGAGTTTTGATGTTGGTGTTTCGAAGTTTTGGGTTTTGTGTTTTGATGTTCAGGGTTCAATGTTCAGGTTTTGGGACTCGGTACTCGCTGTGTTGACTTTGATTGACATTGACAGGATCTGAGTCTGAATGTCATTGATGACTCAGATCAAAACTAGTGCAACAGCATTGCTCATATGTCCATATAGTATACCAATACCTCGACCCATACATCTAAATGATATGTATCTGGGCCCCCCTGTTTATATGACATCCCCCTCCATTGGCCCACCCATTTATATGACATCCCCCTCCGTCAGCCCACCTGTCTATCTAATATACCCTATGTTGGCCCACCCATATATACATAATACATATTTCCCCACCCCATTGGCCCACCCATCTATATAATAATATCTACCATACATCTCTCTTCAGCCCAGCTGTCTATAATATATGTCTATCCTACTCTACATATTGCCCAGATGGGCCCACCCATCTCCATCGGTAATAATATTCCTTCTGGCCCATCCACCATCGTCAAGGATATTTATAACATCGGCATAGATGGGCCCACCCATCAACATCAAGGATATATACATAACATCGGCCCATAGTCCACTGGCCTGTCTTATATGGGATATTATGTAGGTCGGGTGACCTATATAATACGGAGTTTGTCACTGAAGGGGCTCTGTCAACTTGCACTTTTGAAAGAAAATACAAGGTGTTGTAGAAGTGTGGTGAATCACCAGCTGATTGTCAATGCTGGTGATGGAAGTTTCCATCAGTTGCAACATGTACATCACCTCCTTCATTCAGGTCCCGACCAAATGCTACCCCTCCAAAGCATGCAGGACATCATTGTATAAGGCCAGAGGCACAATGCTCGCAAGGAATGAGTGGTTCTGGTGCAGTGGCCTTGGAGGTTAAAGTGTTCCAAGACTCCCAGTGTTCAGCCTCTACATGATCCCAACATGCTGATAGAGCATCTTCAAGCCAATGTTTGACTTCTACTTGTAGAAGGTCAAACCATTGAATGGCTTGACCAAGGCTTCATCAGAAGGGCTCTTGGATAACAATGCCCTACAACATTAAGATGAGTAGTTGATATGCAGTTTATACAGGATCCTTACCTTTGAGTTCATGATGCAGAATCCTCATCATACATAGTGGGTGTGTAGTGCAGAGGCAAGCACATTGACAGCATCACAAGAGTGTTCAAAAAGGGTTCAATAAAAGGTGAGTAACTCAACAGACACTGCCATGCGAGGCTGTGAGGGAGCCATTGGGAATAAGCCATGAAAAATGAGGACTTGAGCTTGGGTAGCACATCTACAGCTCAAGACCTCAATGGAAACAAAATCTGACAGCAATTTGGATTATTCAATTAAACATGCTATATACATGAGTACTTACAGTCAAAAAAAAAGACAAACAATGGATGTGTGTTTTTGTGCACATGTATGTGAGCAGCACAAAGATAAGGCCAGCGTGTGTATCCTTTGAAGAGGTGCTCCTAGTGTCCATGCAGTGTAGTCAAGCTGTACTGTGACAAGAGTGGGAATAAGGGATTTCCAGCTGTCATACAAATGAGTGGACATAAGATTGGGTTGCATGTGATGGCTCAGTGTGGATTGTGAATACAGAGAACAGTTATTGGCAGATTCAGTGACCAGAAGTACATCATCATCATGAAACACATCTTCCCAAGCATCAGTAGACTCAGTGTCTGGCTTGAAGGCTACAGTTTCTGTGTGCCCATCTTGAACAGATGAGGTATCTTGAGACTGAGTTGAGCCTGCCATTAGACTGGCCATCTTGGCAAGTAGCTGGCACTGTTTGACCTTCTGACCCAGCACTTCAACTATCACCTGAGTTTTTCATTTGTCTCTGAGTTTCCGTGGACTGGAAAAGTGCATACCCAGTCCAGAGGATGTGAGTTGAGCTGCATGGGTCCCTGCACATGGAGTCACTGGCATGATGAGGTCTTGCAGGAGGAGAACTGAGAATAAACAACAAAGAGTCTGCGAGAGAACACAAAAAACATAGAGGTATGGTAGATAGTACAGAGGGTCCAAGCTGTGCGATGCTTTGGATCATCCTGATGGAGGGCAACAAGGTGTGCAGAAGGAGGACAACGAGATACCAGGAGGAGGGCAACAAGGTGCCAGGCTATACTGTCCAAATTATGCATAACCATGTCTGGTAAGAAACTGCATGGTTATGCATGGTGGTCTCTAGTCCTTGATGGGTGAGCCATTATGCATAATGCTGCCAGTGATGATCTACCACACCATTTCTCAATTCAGGTACCCATTTTGTGCAGTTCTTAGCCTAATTTAGCCCATCCCCCTTCTTGTACACCCTTGGTGGGACACACCTTATATCCTCTGGTTCCCTGCACCCCGAATTGGTAGTTCTTAGCCTAATTTAGCCCATCCCCCTTCTTGTACACTCTTGGCGGGACATGCCTTATATCCCCTGGTTCCCTGCACCCTGAATTGGCAGGAGATCGAGATTTTACATTTGCTGTACCTTTGATACCTTTGATGGTCTAGTCCTCGTTGATCTCTGCGCATCAGTGGAATTTCAATTCATCTCTAGGTATCAGTATTGCCTGAGTGTTAAGACTGGCTGCTCTTGTGCCTAGATATGCAAATATTCATGCTATGTCCTGTCTGCCTTGAAAATATTAATAAGACTGGTTGCTCTTGTGCCTGATCATGCAAAATTTCACACTTATGTCTTGTCTGCCTTGAAAATCTGCCTTTCATTTCACAAAATGCGAAGTCTCAACAAGAAATATGCTCATATTCTCAATATGTCAACAACACAAGACACATAAACATCGATGGAACATACAGTGGCTCAAAAAAGTGTCTGAATGTTTATGCATTTTCAAGTAATTAGATAATAGCAAGCCAGCACCTGAGTACAATATAAAGGCATATAGACATGTCTAAAGGCTTGACATCATAGCTATAATCTGAGATATATATCATGGGAACTAGACCACATATAGGCAAGATATGGTAATTCTAATCACATGACTCATTTGGACACTTTTTTGACTTTATATCCAAATCACAAAATCCAACCATTCACAGATATTATTCTTAATAGAAGTGGTACAATAATCAATATTTGGTCTTATTTTAATATTATTTATATATATGAACCCACATAACATCATGAACTTTAACATAATCATCATACAGCCTATCTCCTCTGCTTCAAAGGATAATATCCTTATTCTCTGCTCCTCTAGTTTGTCTATGAGGCAAATTGCTTCCAAAACTGGTCCTAGCAAGTCTACTATTGCTATAGTTATGCTGACTATGATAGAACATTGATCTCATGAGCTTTGAGCCATTTTGTAGCTAGCTTTGAGGTATGCTTAGAGTCATTATCCAGTTGGAAGATAATGTCTTCTTCATCACTTCCTGACTTCTGCATGCTTCTGAGTAGACACTCCTCTAGAATGGAGATTTACTGCTCTACATTCATGCCTCCTTCCACCTCACAAAGAATCCCCACACCATTCCATCTCCTACAACCCCTACCATCATACTTCATGTTCCAAACTTTAGTATATTCTTGACTTCTCTTTCCCCTAATGGTTCCCCTACCTTTTTTGACACATATTCCAGGCCATCTGACCCCATTCTATTGGTTTTTATCTCATGTGACCAAACTACCTTCTTTCAGTCTTCCACAGTCCAATGTTGGTGCTTTAAAGCAAAGGCCCCTATAAGCTGCAGAAAGAAGAGGCATTGTCTTCTTGGTTACAGCCATAAGATTGGCTGCCTTAAGGGTGTTTCTGACTGTTTGAGTGGGGATGGGAGTGGGGATGATGGAATTGATGAACTTAGTGGCATGGACAACATTTGAAGCCTTGCCAGATAGACTTTAATGAACAATAGCTCTTTTATGCTGTAGAGTAAGCTTGAAAGACCATCCCATTTTATGATTTTCCTTCTCTAGTATGTTTTGGTTTGTGACTATAGCAATAGTAGACTTGCTAGGACCAGTTTTGGAAGCAATTTGCCTCATAGACAAACTAGAGGAGCAGAGAATAAGGATATTATCCTTTGAAGCAGAGGAGATAGGCTGTATGATGATTATGTTAAAGTTCATGATGTTATGTGGGTTCATATATATAAATAATATTAAAATAAGACCAAATATTGATTATTGTACCACTTCTATTAAGAATAATATCTGTGAATGGTTGGATTTTGTGATTTGGATATAAAGTCAAAAAAGTGTCCAAATGAGTCATGTGATTAGAATTACCATATCTTGCCTATATGTGGTCTAGTTCCCATGATATATATCTCAGATTATAGCTATGATGTCAAGCCTTTAGACATGTCTATATGCCTTATATTGTACTCAGGTGCTGGCTTGCTATTATCTAATTACTTGAAAATGCATAAACATTCAGACACTTTTTTGAGCCACTGTAAAATGTAGTGTAGTATCACATAGCCTTTCTCCTCCTAGAAATTGAGTTAGTGTTCATGCTTGCAAATAATAAACACCCAAAATCACAAACCTCTTTTGAGAATGGCCACCTATGCTATCAGCCTGTGCCAAATGTGTCGTCTGCTGGCACACGTGCTTTGTCTTCCTAACAGCAGGAACAACTATGTCATCGGCTTGTACAGCAGAGCCCAATGCACTACCAACATCAGAATGGAGGAGCACCGGCTGTTCTGAAACCTGGGTAACCTCAACAGTGGAGGGTGTAAGAGCATAATCCAAGTCCCTGGCACAGCCGGAACCACTAGCAGAGGATACTACTGGTGGTGCCAAAACCTGAGCTGTTCCAGCAGCTGGAACCACTGGAGGATCAGGTGGGTATGTAGAGGAACTGAAGTTATACTTTTCTGTTGATACCGGGAGGGGGCAAAAGATGGTAATGGGGTGACAATAGCGTATGTTACAGTGGCTCAAAAAACTGTCTGCATGTTTTGACATTTTTCACTATCTATGATATTGTGTGAGAACTAACAAATGCCTCAAGGAACATGGTTATACCACATTGTAGTATGGCATCAGGGCTTTCATTTGAGCCCTACACCGTGGGAATCGGTGGAGATATGGTGGAGATACAAGGCTTACAAAATCATGACTCATGCGGACAGCTTTTTTGAGCACATATTAAAACTATATAAATCATCATTTATGACACCATAACAATCATGCCACCATTAAATAAATTATAAAGTGGTGTCATTATGTCGTTTTAAAGCCATATCTAACTATACAAACCAAAAATTTCCATATGTCATGGTTATATTCACCATGAAAGCCACCCCCCTGCTCAAAGGGATAATATCCTCTCTCTTTCCTATTCTGGCCTCTCTGCTTGTCAAATTTCCTCTAGAACTGGAGTATCCAAATCCACTGTGGCCAAGTTCATCAAAGAAAGTCACACAGACAAGGAAAACTTCTGTGAAGGGCGTCCATCCAAGCTCACCTCTACTGATAGGAGGGCTATTATTCAACATATCACTACAGGAAAGGCTGATAATGCTGTCCAGGTCACCTATTACATCAATTCCACCATCACATTCCCTGTCTCTTCACACACTGTGAGAAACATTCTCAAGACAGCTCATCTCAGGTCAGTAACAAGGAAGAAAAGGCTCTCCTCTCTATCACACATAAACAGAGATGACTAACCTTTGCCTTAGCCCATCAGAATTGGATTACATGGACTGGAAGCATGTTATATGATCATATAAGACCACAATAAATAGGATTGGGTCAGATGGCAAGGTATATATGTGAAAAAAGAAGGGTGCTAGTCCTCTCTGCATATGTGTGATAGAGAGGAGAGCCTTTTCTTCCTTGTTACTGACCTGAGATGAGCTGTCTTGAGAATGTTTCTCACAGTGTGTGAAGAGACAGGGAATGTGATGGTGGAATTGATGTAATAGGTGACCTGGACAGCATTATCAGCCTTTCCTGTAGTGATATGTTGAATAATAGCCCTCCTATCAGTAGAGGTGAGCTTGGATGGACGCCCTTCACAGAAGTTTTCCTTGTCTGTGTGACTTTCTTTGATGAACTTGGCCACAGTGGATTTGGATACTCCAGTTCTAGAGGAAATTTGACAAGCAGAGAGGCCAGAATAGGAAAGAGAGAGGATATTATCCCTTTGAGCAGGGGGGTGGCTTTCATGGTGAATATAACCATGACATATGGAAATTTTTGGTTTGTATAGTTAGATATGGCTTTAAAACGACATAATGACACCACTTTATAATTTATTTAATGGTGGCATGATTGTTATGGTGTCATAAATGATGATTTATATAGTTTTAATATGTGCTCAAAAAGCTGTCCGCATGAGTCATGATTTTGTAAGCCTTGTATCTCCACCATATCTCCACCGATTCCCACGGTGTAGGGCTCAAATGAAAGCCCTGATGCCATACTACAATGTGGTATAAGCATGTCCTTGAGGCATTTGTTCGTTCTCACACAATATCATAGATAGTGAAAAATGTCAAAACATGCAGACAGTTTTTTGAGCCACTGTATTGCAGAAGTGAAGGCAAGGGGGCATTATGAGGGCAGATGTGGATGTACCATACATCTGTTTCCTCCA